GACCACACAGACTTCTAGACATTATAGAGTGGCATATAGTGAGTGAAACACTACATTGATTCTAGGCATTAGTAGAGTGGCATATAGTGAGTGAAACACTACATTGATTCTAGACATTAGTAGAGTGGCATATAGTGAGTGAAACACCACATAGATTCTAGGCATTAGTAGAGTGGCATATAGTGAGTGAAACACTACATTGATTCTAGACATTAGTAGAGTGGCATATAGTGAGTGAAAGACCACATTGATTCTAGGCATTAGTAGAGTGATATATAGTGAGTGAAACACCACATTGATTCTAGGCATTAGTAGAGTGACATATAGTGAGTGAAAGACCACATAGATTCTAGACATTACCGTAGTAGAGTGGCATATAGTGAGTGAAACACCACATTGATTCTAGGCATTAGTAGAGTGGCATATAGTGAGTGAATGACCACATAGATTCTAGACATTAGTAGAGTGGCATATAGTGAGTGAATGACCACATTGATTCTAGGCATTAGTAGAGTGACATATAGTGAGTGAAACACCACATTGATTCTAGGCATTAGTAGAGTGACATATAGTGAGTGAAAGACCACATAGATTCTAGACATTACCGTAGTAGAGTGGCATATAGTGAGTGAAACACCACATAGATTCTAGGCATTAGTAGAGTGGCATATAGTGAGTGAATGACCACACAGATTCTAGACATTAGTAGAGTGGCATATAGTGAGTGAAAGACCAAATTGATTCTAGGCATTAGTAGAGTGGCACATAGTGAGTGAAACACCACATAGATTCTAGGCATTAGTAGAGTGGCATATAGTGAGTGAAACACCACATATATTCTAGGCATTAGTAGAGTGGCATATAGTGAGTGAAAGACCACATAGATTCTAGACATTAGTAGAGTGGCATATAGTGAGTGAAACACCACATAGATTCTAGGCATTAGTAGAGGGCATATAGTGAGTGAAACACCACATTGATTCTAGGCATTAGTAGAGTGGCATATAGTGAGTGAAACACCA